GCTGAAGTAGCTCGTACTACGGTATCCCAAGAAAGCGCATATTTCTTTCTTTTATTCGCGCAGTCTCCTCCTGTGTTGATTTCGGAAAGCGGTCCTTTTGATCATCACTGCGCCATGCATCTAACTTCGACGCAGAGGTGTTGGGGAGGGGGGGTGCAACTTCTAGATAGGCTTCTCCGTGCAAGCACTTGTGCTCTTACTGTTCAGAAAACTACAAGCTTGTATTACTGTGATTCGCTTGTTCACTGAATTCACGTCGTTGTGGGCGGCCACCGTACTTGTCATCTCCCGTTCTCTTTTTCTTAGGCTGCGTTCATACTTGCTGGCAGCGTCCACTAGCGTCCAGGAGTGGAGAGTATGGGGACATAGGGGTAAGAGTGCTGGTAGAGTATGGGGAAGTAGGAGGGAGCAGACGCTGGATTAGGGGTCGTGAAATTGCGGCGTGTGCAACCTCATCGACTATACCATACATTAAATTGCAATAACCAGCAGCAATAACAACAATTGCAACCCAGTACCATACATTAAATTGCATAATTCTGTGCTTTAGCAGTTGTACGGTGCGGTTGACACGCCGCATTTCACGACGCCTAATCCAGCTGTCTGCTCCCTCCTACTTTCTCATACTCTATCACCAGTCTGCTACCCTCCTAGTTCCCCATACTCTCCACTCCTGGACGCGAGTGGACGCTGGCATTCGCTGGATCGATATCCATACTTTCCTAGTCGCTTTTGGAGTAGACGCTGGGACGCTGGTGGACGCTGCCGCAAAGTTAGCTTGCAGCTTGCCTCTGCCTTCAGTTGCCCCTCCGGGTATTCCTCACAGCAATAACCATGGATAGAATCTTTATCATTCAGTGACTGTACAACAACTGAGTATTGCCAGCATCGCTGCTCTTCACAGCCTGAAAGAGTCCTGCGCTTACGACGACCTCTCCTACCTTCCCTCGCGGTAATTGCGTGCCCTGAGCCCACGCCGTGTTGCAGTGAAATACTTAGCCGCGTCCTTGACCATGTTCGGGATATGGAGTGCATATTATTGGTACTTTTTATCAAAATAAATTTGGCTTTAGAAAGTCTTGGAAATGTTGCTGAGTTCTTGGGATACCTTATCTGCTCGGGGTCGAAAGTCTTCACTCCCTTTTTTTAAGGACATGGATAATGAAGGCAAATATGGAATCGAAATACGGCCGTTTTTAAGTTCCCGGAAACATTTCTATCCCAAAAATACCAGGTGAGACTTCACTTCCTCTCTGCCCCTCTCATTTTCTCATTTGTTCAAATCGATGCCTGTTTTTAGATTGAAGAAATCGCAAGACAACAGAAACACTGAATCGAAGGGATATCCATGTTTAGTAGAGGTGTGTCAGCTTGAAATATCGCTCAAAAGGCTGGTGGCGAAGAGGTCTAGCACTATGAGCTGTAGTAAGTGCACCCTGATTTTAGGGATGTACTTCAATTTTGAAGACTCATACAGCCTTGCGGAAGCACGCGAAAGTTCACGCTGTGCGAAAGTTCTCTTGTGAACGATGCGGAAGAACGTTTGCTGAGCGAACGAAGCTCAATCGACATATGCTGACGCATACCGGAGAAAGAGCTTTCAGGGTATGAGACACAATATCATTCTATATTTCTCGCGTTCGCAAACGAGGCCATCTGAATGAAGCCCATTACCCTTTTTCTTGACCCTTATGTGCATCACGTTAGGCCCACATGAATGGCCGTTTTTGCTACCCTATTTTTGATTTCGAAAGTACTGGAGGAATTTCTTTGCGCAGCGACTTTTGTTACACTCAGGGTAAGCTGTAGGTGGCTTCAGAGAGAAATTGTCCAGTCAACTTCAAGGACGGTTCCTACTATGTGGGAGAAGGGGTGTACAAGTGTAACACTTTCGTCCCTTGGGAGCGCGCGAAATGGGGCCGAAGGTTAATAAGGCCCGAGTGCCGTTTAGCACTCTAGACTTGCTATCCTCGAGGTGCAGCGCTTGCGTCGATACCAAAACTCCCTGCAGGGAGACTCAGATAGAGAACAACCAAGTAAGAGGGCGCAGAAAAGTAGCGCGTTTGGCCATAGTTAGGCCGGTGACTGGCAGTGCGGCAGCGTGGGCGGAGTCAGGAAACAGCACCCGGTGGGAGATGGGCAAGAGAATCGTATATTGCCGCTTCGTCGCGCGCGGCAATGGGCGCGACGTTTCCTTAATTTGCACTACTCTTTCGTTGGAGCATCGGATTTCATGTAGACAGGACATGGTAGACACTTATGTCTATTTTTGGTCATACATTGTCTATTCTCGACCAATACCACCAAATCGTCGTCATTAGCGGGCGCGACGTCGCACGCGACGCCCATTGGCGCGGCGAATTACGATTCTCTTGCCGCATACCCGCATCCGATTATCTCAAGTCTCTAGCCTCATTCCTGAGCACACTTGGTTGGAGAAAGCGGTACGCTCCTGCAGCTGTAGATTCATTCATCTATATTAGGTTGGCTAATAAGTAATGGCCGTTTTTTTCAATTGAAAAATTTGTTCGAAAAGTGAAACGTTTTGCAAGCAAGTTATATATCATCTGATAGGAAACTTCTCGTAGTATAAGAATATCAAAAAAGCTTTGGTTGAGGATATAGTTTTTGTGAATTTTTTAGTCGTTGAAGTTGGAAGTGAAGTCGGCGAAAATTAGCATCTTCGACAACTGCCTCTATTTAGAAATTTC